GGTTTTCAGTATTGGTCATCTCTAATTTGTGCTAAACAAAACTTCATATGTGACCTCAGTGTAATGAATAGAGCAAGCCTAGAACTATAGTTTGGAGTGGAGTGAGCTGCTCCATTTCCAAGGATTCTGGTTTTCTCTGTGTAAAAATCACAAATTCTCTGATAACTTGCAAATTCTCTAATTAAAACCCCCAAATCTGTGTATTCCCATGGTTTAAAATGAAACACCACTACACACACACACACACACACACGTATGTGTGTGTGTGTGTGTGTATATATGTGTGTGTGTGTATATAGGTGTGCATATATAGGTATGAGTTGAACACATCGTTTTATTGATATATTTACAATTTTAAAGCAATTTGGAAGCCTACCAGTGCCTCCATCACTATAATAAATTATAAATACCTATACATTTTGGCATTTGATTTAGGGTTTTTTTATCATGGAAAATCAGAGCTCCCCCAGCCCCCTTCATTCACCAGGATGCAGGTCCAACTGGCGCTGTCTGTTCCTCCCCCCCATCTGCTTTGTGGTGCTGAGCAGCCTTAGTATGCCAGTGCCCTGCCCATGCCATTGCCCCTTGCTCTCAGGCCACAGCCCTCCAGCCCTGCTGGTGCCCCTCGCTCCCCACACACAGCCTCCCATCACCTAGCCCTGCTGGAGGGGCCCCCAGCTGTGCCCAAGCCCCAGCTGCTGCCCATGGGAGGTGGTGGCAGGTGCTGTGGCCAGACCAGAGGATGGGGCCCAGCTCCCCCACCCCCACAGGCAGCATGGCTGGAATGGAGCCCATGAGAGGGGGGCAGGTATGAGTTGCCCACTATGGGCTCGGGCTCCCCACCCTGATGCCCTCCCTCTGGGGCCTCCATGCCGCAGCAGGTGGGACCCCGCATGGCAGGGCAGAGTGGGGCAGGGAAGCTCGTACCACCACCACAAGCCCCACACTGCCACCTGGCAGCAACAGGGGTGGCAGCACAGAGTTTTTCTCCTTAAAATCCATTTTTTCTCCTTTAAAAAGAGAAAATCTGGTTTTTTCTACTTAAAATGAGACCATCTGGGTTGTACCATTTTTTTCCATGGTGAACGTAAAACCCAGATCCCAGTCCATTTTCTCAGTTAAGGGGTCCTTCATGTGCCCTTAGGACTGTCTAATATTAGTGTGCTCCCCCCAGATTGCTCCCTGCTCCCTGGGCCGCTCTGGCAGCATGCAGCCCCCTCACTTCCCCTCTGTCCCCTGGGCAGAGCTGGCAGTGTGTGTCTGCTTCCTCATGCCCTCTCTAGGCGCATGGCAGTGTGACAAAAAGGCAGCTAGAGAAGCCTGCAGGCCGCACATGAACTGCTCACAGGCTTTGCTGGTTCCTTATGCGCTGCATGCAGCCTGCAGGCCTGCAGTCAGACAGCCCTAAAGTAAAGGCGTGGACTCGCCTCCAAAAGATGTGCAAGTCTAATTATTTAATGAGCTCTTCTCATACCCTTATTCTGCTTCCTTTTAGGTATCTCCTTCCCATCTGTCCTTTCCTCCCTCACCCTTGCTTTCTTTCCCTGTTCTCCCAGATAAATCAGTTCTACTGACAGGTCTAAAAGGAGCCCTTTACTGCATTTCTGTGTAGCAATGGGGACATCAAGTGGCCACTATTAATCATGGTGGATGAATATTGTTTTCAATCCTCAATTCCTTTGGAAAATGTACAGTATCCTGTTTCTGACATGTGATCAAAGTGATAGCAATAAAGGTCACAGGAATACCAATGCACATTAACTATCTTTTCTTTCCCAATCATTGTGCCAAATGAGGGTTAATAGATCATGCTTCCTTTTCTCTCTCAGTTCTACACAGAACATCTGCCTTCGGGAATGGCACAAAAATAGCAAAAATACCAAGTGGATTGTGTTGTAACATTTCACAGTGTAGTAGTTTGGCACCTTAGATGTATTGCTTTCAGATGGGGGTGTAAACGAGGGATATAACTAGTAGGGCTGTGCAAAGCTTTGGATCACAATTTGGATTCAGAGATAATTCAGATGCTGAATCTATGAATCTGAATTGAATCGCTGCAAGCTTTAGGCTTCCTGAATTGATTCAGAGCTTCCAAATCGATCTGGAAAAGATTCAGTGATTTGGCCATAGGGTATAATGGGGAATCAATGAAATACCTATAACTTTGTTGTCTTTTGGCTGATTCAGATGAAATTTGCAGGGATGGTAGCCTCTGCTGGAAGCATGATGCGTGCCAAGCTTTAAGATGATATTCACAGCAGTTTCTGGGAAACCACACCTCAAATCCTGAAAGCAAAACTCATGTCGTGTGTGTTAAGTCACAGTGGGTTGGAACACCACAAAGCCTGCCAAGTTTCAAGAAGATAGGTGCAGGGGTTTCTGAGACACCACACCACAAGCAAAACTCATGTCACGTGTGTGTGTTAAGCCACAATGGGGTGAAAACTGCAGGGCGGGTAGCTCTTGCTGAAGCCACAAAGCCTGCCAAGTTTCAAGGAGATAGGTGCAGGGGTTTCTGGGAAACTGCACCTCAAACTGCTGACAAGCAAAACTTATGACATAGGTGATCTTGTGTGTGTGTTAAGCCACAGTGGGGTGAAAGCTGCAGGCATGCTAGCCCCTGCTGAGGCCATGAAGCCTGCCAGCTGTCAAGGAGATAGGTACAGGGGCATCTGGGTTCTGGGGCCCTGCACCTCTAGCTGCTGACAGGCAAAACTCGTGTCATGGGTGCTTGGGAGATGTGGAGCCGGCCGGGCACTCTGTGCATTTCCCCAACACCTCCCTCCTCACAGCGAGTGTCCCCGGCTGGGGGCACGTGAAACCTAAGCGACTCTAGCAGCCCTTAAGGGAAGCCGCACATGGAGGTGCCAGGTGGGCTCTCCATGTATTTCCCCAACACCTTATCTGCTCCCTCGGCTCCCAGCCAGCTTCCACCCCAGCCCTGCCCCGCAACCCCCCAGACCCCTGAAAGCCCCACTGACCAGTTCACAGGCTCCAGGAGGAAAGCGAGCCTGACCTAGGCCTTGCAACTGACTAAAAGCCACAGGCTCCACCCTTCCCCTTTTGTCTCCCCCTCCCCCTGTCCCTCCGGGCAGGGTTGGGGCTTTTCTGCCCTTTTTGCAAACTGCTCTTGCAGGCTGGACCTCAGCCAGCCTGAACAGCTCTTTGCAAAAGGGGGGAATCTGTGGGTTTCTCTGCTAAAAGAGAAAATCCATGTTTTCTCTGATATAACCAGGAAGTCTGTGGTTTTCTCTGTTTTTCCATGGGAAATGGTGATATCTTATGGTTGCTGCCACACTACTGGCAATATTGTACTGCTGCAGCAGCAGCTTTTCCCCCCACCCCAAGTGTGTACCCAGGGCACCTTCCCTAGTCACCTCACCCTAGTTTGCTGTTATAACCTAGTGTTACTGTTTGCTTTATAACAGAAATAAACTGGATTGAGTTACTTGTACTGCATTTGGATTTGAGCCTCCAAATGAATGGACTCCCTCAAATAACATGATTTAAAAATATATATTGGGCTAGAATCTAAGTTAATTTAAATCAGTGAAGTTCCACTGAAGTCAAGTTTGGGAATGCAGATTTCCATTGATTGAACAAAAACATAGGTAGTAAGTATGAAAAAAGATTCTCAATCATAGTTCCAGTGGGTGAGACCTATGGCAATATTATTTTCAGTATCTCCAGATGGTTTTTTTTTAAATATAGAAAGATGTTTTTGCTGAAGAAAATATTTTAACTATACTGTTTTAAAACAGAACTTTGATTCTGTTTTCTGCAGATCAGCCTCATTAAAACAAAGCGAGATACTGAGACTGGATGACTTAAGAACTGGTAATAGGACAGGGAGACTGTCATCTCTAGGTTGCTAGTTTAAATGCACTCTGTCTTGGTTGTGACTCAGAGCTGTTGCTATCTAATAGATACTGGTATTTCATAGCTTCTTTGAAGGAAGTTATAAATTTCAGTCCCATTTGTGTTGACTTATGAAATCTTCACCACTGTTGTCGTTGCTTGTCTCTTACTTGACAGTCAGAGCAGGGCCAAAGGGTGAAAGGTCAATGAAGACTGAACTCTCATATTGCCTCCAGAACTGGCAACCAACTCAGTGTCCAGGGTGAGGAACATGGACAGAGAACTTGAGGAAGGAAGAGGAAGTTGGCACTTTGTTGTCTTGTGCATAAAGTCTGGGCGCTACTTCAAGGATATAACAACAGGCACATCAGTGGGTGTTAAATTTGATAGTAGGGCTGTAGCCTCTGATTCAGGACTTTCCAGGCCTCTAAGTTCTGGTGTCTAAGGAAGAGGGGCAGAGTACAAATCAGTCTGGACAGGCCCTACGTAAATACTCTCCCTCTTAACGTTCACTTTGTTCCACTCTGAGATACAGGATACTGGGAAAGAACGTCTGACCCAGCATGGCATCTCTCATGTTTTTCAGTTGTGGCTGGAACTTTTGTTGGGCCTATGAACAGGAGAGGATTACATTCACCATAAATGAGAGCATCAGTCTCTGTCACGTTCCGTCAGTGCTAAAATAGACTGTACAACTTTAAGATTTTTAAATAAGAAGAATTGAGGGCCCAATTTTGTGAGGTATTGCATATTCTAAATCCATTGACTTAGAGGATTGGGTCGTCTGTCTGCCGGTGAGTCCTCAGTGTTTAGCAATTAATTTCTGCTGTACTTAAATTGATTTGTATTCTGTGAAAATATATTCTAATTATTTATCATAATACCAAGTACAGCCAGAGTATATTTGTTCCAGAAACTACACACAATTGCTGTGTAAACTGCTGAGCTCTTGTGTTTTTGGCATGTTGTTAAAAATCAAATTATAAAGGTTTAGCAACAAAGTTGTAATTAGGGTCAGTGAAAAACTGTGGGTAGAATAATATTGTGGATTCATCAGTTTTCATCATACTCCATAGTTTGCCAGAACCCAGAAGTATTATTGCACTTTAACATACTAACACTGTCAGTAAAATATCCCTTACTTCCTGGACTGGAATTGGATCTTCAACAAGTGCAGTGCCAAAGCTGGACTCAGCTTACAAGGGCATGTCCCTGAAAGGCAAAATGGGTACAGTTAAAAGGAAAATAACATCACTGAAATCATGCTACTGGGCTGGGGAAGGGAAGTCATCCCAGCTGGGCTGAGTTCCCTTCCCCAACCAGATCCTAGCGCTGGGGAGGGAAACTCAGCTCAGCTGGGCTCAGTTCCCTTCCCCAGCCTGATCGCAGACTCACCTTGTTTTGTTTTGAGTCTGTTTTGAAGCCCTTTGTTTCGTTTCGATTTCACTCTTTCAAGCTCAAAATGAGTCAAAACAGTGTTGAAATGAAACAGCTGGCGAAATTTCGCACAGCCCTAATCTGCACCCTCCATAAGATTATATGTTACATGCGTATATATTAAATGTTTCATATAACAGTTGTATTCAGATTACAAGGTTCAATAACATGTCAGTTCACTTTAAAGCACTTTAACTCTCCCAACACCTTCCTGAGGAGAATGTTATCTTAAGCCAACACCACGAAGCATCCTAATAAACAGAAACATCCCTTTATGGAGCATATAGAAGTCTCTGCAGGGAGGTCCATTCGGGCACAGTGTAAGGCTACTTTATTGGTAAGAATACCAGCATACGGCACCTCACTCTTTAGAACCAGCATGTGGGAGGATGGAATCAAAGGCAACTTGAAGAGCTCTCCCATTAAAAACAGGGAAGTTAGTCCCAAGATGGTGACCAGATCTTCAGCATAGGCTGATGAACCAGCCGGGATTTTGAGATACTTCATCGTTCACTCTTGGGCTAAGTACAGACAGTCAAAGCCAGAGGCTGAATTAATTCAATCTTCACAGGTTTTTTGGAGCTGTGTAGGTTGAACCAACAATGAAGCAAACTGATGTTAACTAAATCAGTTAAGTTTGATACTGCATTCATCCAGATCTATCTTAAACTGGTTTCAGCCATTTTGAAACTGGTTTATGTGTACTGAACTTCTGTTTGGTTACAGGTTAAAACCATTTTATGATCACTTATATCATGTTTACTTTAGGCCACTGGGTTCAAGGGATGGGGTACTTGCTCAGACCTCTACGCCCCTGGGGTTCTGTCCTTGAGTCAGCATTCAGCAGAGACAGGTGGGGTGATAAACAGTTTTGTCTTTATTAGGAAGCATGATTCAACAACACACACACTCACAGCTGGCAAGGAGAGCCACCTACCACCAACAAACCACAGCCACAGGTACCCGGGGAAAACTGGACCGTTCCATTGCAGGTCCCTTAAAGGTGCATTCCATATACCACATCCCCTTCTTTACTCTGGGAGCTTCCTCTTAAGTAGATGAATGTTTTTCAGTAGCTACTTTAACGTGGAATGTTTTAGGATTGTGGAGCCAGAGGTTGCTAGCACTTGGCTCACCGATAGGGTCTAGCCTTTACTGCTATCCTGTTACATAGTCCTTGTACTTCACATGCAACTTCACCATACGTTCACTCTTAGTTTGTGTGGTCTCATCAGGTGTCTCTTTGGGTACTGGTGGATTCTCTGAAATGTAATGAAACCCTTGCTCTTGGTGGTCTGGTTTTACTTCTGATGTTTGTTCTGCTGCCATGTCTTGAGGTGCATCAACATGTTCTGCTGGTATCAATGAATAATCCTTTCTTAAGTGTCTTCTGTTCCTCCTACAGACATTACCACAGTGGGTTTTTACCACATAGGAACGTGGCTCATCCCATTTTAACCATAATGGATGCTGGTATCCAACCTGTATTTGTTTGCATCCCTGCTTACTTCGCCCCTCATAGTGGTGGCAAGAATGCAGCCGTGTGGTCTGTCGGCAACCGCAGCACGGCGGTTTACCAGTTGAACCGGGGGGGCGGGTGGATGACCAACCCGCCTTGCATACAGGCCGGGGATGAAAGGGACACTGACTCAGTTGGAAGATAGTAAAATTGAACTTAACGTTTACTTACAGTAAGATTTCAACAGTGGTTACACAACAAAACGACAGTGGTGAAGCAGTAGTTAAAGATGATAGGTAGGAGATAGCAATTGCTTTTTCCGATGTACGTGCGGATGGAGAGCTCACTATTCAGTGAAATAATAGCCAGAGTGTGACTGTTTGTATGACTATTCGTATGACTATTCAGCCATGGGGACACGGATTCCTGGACAGGGTGATCAGTCCTATCCGAGGGCCTGTGTGGAACCCGGGACCCTGTGCTTTAGCACGCTGTCCCTTTTATAAACTCTTCAGCCAATCAGAGGAGGCCGCTGATTTACAGTTAAGAGAGAGCGTCTGCTGGCCAGGCAGGCACGCTTCTCCTGCAGCTCCTGATTCGTTAAGGCTGTCTGATCACGAGCTGGTCAGCATCATGATCATGGGCTCTTCACACGCTGAACATGGCCTGCTCTCATGTTCTGCATTGGTCTGGCATGTGGGCTGAGCGTTTGGTCACCTTTTCTACTCAGACATGGTCATACTGCTTCTTTTGGCACCTTTGAAGTTTCCGCAACTTGTGGGAGGCATTCAATGGTAGCTTTGGAGTCAGCACCACTGTTGTAGCAGGGAGGGTATTGTGCAAAAGTCTCCCCATCAGAAGCTGCCCTGGAGCATACCCAAGACCTGTAATGGGCGTGTTCCGGAGATTGAGTAAAGCCAGGTGTAGATCTAAGCCGTCTTGCAATGTCTTCTTAAACGTTGTTTTGATGGTCTGAACTATGTGTTCAGCCTGCCCATTGGCTTGTGAATAACCTGGACTAGAGTGGGTGATGGTTTTGCCCCAGTCAATTGCAGATTGTTTCCTCATGTGACTTGCAAATGTCACGTGATTACAACCAATTTCTTTAGGTATGCCATGGCGAGCAAACACAGACTTCATTTTGGTTACTACCATGCCAGCCATCTTGTCTGTCAGGTGCAAAACTTCAGGGTACATGGAGTAATAGTTGACTATTATCAAATAAGACTGTCCCCATAGGTCAGAAATGTCTGCTGCCAGTTTTAGCCAAGGCAGATCTGGGATCTCACGTGAGATCATGGGCTCTTTCTGAGTACTGGGTTGGAGTTCTTGACAAAGTGTGCAATTCCCAATCCATTGCTTGATGTGGGCATTCATCTTAGGCCAATTCATGGTTTGTCGAGCTCGTGCTTTCGAACTCAGAATTGATTGGGCGAGTGAAGCAATATCAATATGTTGGTCCTTGCAACATGTGGAATAATTATTTTCAGCCCAGTCATGATCAAATCATCCTGAATCCGGATCTGATCCCTGAGAGGCCAGTAAGGCTGTAGTTTAGGTCTATCTTGTTTTTGCCTGCTCGGCCATCCATTAAGATGCTGATCTCTAAGGGCTTGTAGTTCATTGTCAGCTTTTGTGTGCTCCTGTAACTGCTGGACTAACTGGCCACTGAGTGGCTCCATTTCAGTCAGACTGTGAGCCACCTTCTCTGAGTGGAAACGATCAGATTCAGGAGGAGGGATGAGCACTGTGGCTCTGGAAAGCGTGTCAGCCACTGTCATGTCTTTGCCTTTGGTATAGAGCAGCATTTCCCAACCATTGTGCCACAGCACACCGGTGTACCTTCAGGATGCCGTGGCATTTTGGGCTGGAGCCATGCCCCCCGTGCGAGACAGACAGGGGGGCATGGCTCCATCCAGTGATTCAAAACCCACGCCACCTGCTTCCTGCTGCTCTGCGGCATTCTGCTGCTTGCTACCCCCCCGCAATTCTGCAGCGTATTTTTGGAGCTGCAACAGCATCCTCTGTAGCCGTGCTGGAGTCTTTCTGATGGGCTTTGCAAAAATCACTTGTGGTCTGACTGGACCCTTACCTGGGTGCGATACACATATTTGAGGAACTTTGTCATGGCGAAGACAACTACCAGAAGTTCTTTTTCAATCTCTGCATAATTTCTCTCAGATTTTGTTAGAGTCCTTGAAGCATATGCGAGTGGCTGCTTCTGTGGAAACAGACATGCTCCTAGGACATCTTTTGACACATCAGCTTGGATTTCCAGCTGCTCTGCTGGGCTGAAGTACTTGAGCACAGGTGCTATTGTGATGGTTTGCTTGAGCTTATCCAGGGCTTCCTGATGCTCAGATCCTCGTTGCCAGATAACATCATTCCTGAGAAGCGCTCTCAGTGGGGCCGTCAGGCTTGACTCATCTGGAATATGTTGCACCAAGTACGGAATGGTTCCGAGGAGTCCTTGAAGGCCTTTTTTGTCTGTTGAAGGGGGCATCCTGTTGATGGCTTCCACTTTTTCATAGTCTGGTTTGACACCATCTTTTAAGAAGATATGGCCCATATACCTAATGCTGTTGACTAAAAACTGTATTTTATCCTTATTAAACTTTACTCCGTTCAGACGTGCCCTCTCTCGGACTTGTTTCAGGATAGTGTCATGCTCGTCTTTGGTAGCTGCCGCAATGAGCACATCATCTGCGATTATATGGATTCCCGGAATGTCACCAAAACACTCACGATTCTTCTGTTGGAAAACTTCGCAAGCCAACTTGATACCAAAGGGAAGGCGAGTGAAGTGAAATAGACTGGCCAATTTGTCTTTGTCCAATTTGACGTGCCAATAGCCATCCTCTTCATCAAGAATGGTGAACAGCTTGTTACCAGACAAACTCTTCTGCATATCCTCCACAGTGGGAATAGAAGAGTGCTGCCTCAACACTGCCTTGTTGAGGTCTTGTGGGTCTAGACAAAGTCTTAGTGAACCATCCTTCTTTTGTGTGACCACAATGCTATTGACCAAAGGTGTGGGCTTAGTCACCTTCATAATGACTCCCCTAGCTGCCAGCATTTCAAGGGTGGTCTTCAACTTGCCTAGGGTTGCATAGGGAATTTTTCTACACCCATGCTCAACTGGTGGTGCCATCAGGTTGACATAGATGTGGTTGGCACCAGTAAATTGGCCCAAACCTTTGAAAACGTTGGGGTATGGTTTGAGAAGATCCGCCTTGGTTGTAGGTACTGTCAGGGTCATTCCATGGACTTGTCTAATAAGGTCTAAGGTTGTGCATGCCACCCTATCAAGTATTGGTGGGTCACTATTGTCTGTTATATAAAAAGTTAAATTGGATGCATTAGCACCAGATTTGCAGCGTGCAATGATCGCACCTTTTGGTTTGATGCGTGCACCGCCGAATGCAACCAATGTAACATGAGCTTGAGCCTTGCGTACTTTGTCTTGCAGGGCCTTTGCTACATCTACTAGAATAGTGTTTGCTTCCACTCCACTATCTAACTTAAAATAGATAAACAAGCAGTTATAACTGTGTTATACCAGGCATTCAGGTTGTCAAGGGCCTGTGAGTGCTGTTTCACTGACATTGTGCCCATATACAGGGTACTGACTCTTTTTTTTTTCCAGACTTCGGAGCATCTCCCTTTAATTTGCACATTTTTGAGAAGTGGTTCACTCCAGAGCATTTGTAGCAAGTTTCTCCAAACGCGGGGCAGGATTTAGGTTTGTGTGTGCTTTCACACCTTTTGCAACCTTTGCCTTTTGCAGCTTTGTGGCCCTCCGGGGGAGCAAACGCCATTGGGGGTTTTTTTGCCTTTGCACAGTGCTATGGCAGTTTCACTTTTGCTCAGCTGTTTATAGGTTTACTTCTGCAGCCATAACATGACCCTGGGCACTTGTGAGAGCCTTTGCCCTGCAGATATCCACAGCCTGTGCCAGGGTGAGGGAGGAGTTTTCCAGAAGCCTCTCCTTGAGTTTACAGTCAGTTATGCTGAAGACAATTTTATCCCTCAACATAACATCCTCAGCAGGTCCAAATTCACAATGCCGTGCTCTATTTTTGATCTCTGTGACAAAACCATCTATGCCTGCAGCCTCAATGCATCTAAGTTGCCAGAACTGATACCTTTCAAAAACAGGGTTTTTTTCTGGGTTCACAATAGTTCTTGTATGCTGCAAGCACCTCTGTAAGGGTTTTGTTATTAGGGTCTGCAAACACACCTTGCATGTTGTTGTGAATTTCTAGGGCTTTATCCCCAATGCAGTGAAGCATGACTGTAATTTTATAATCCTCTGCCTCTTCCTTGGCCTTTGTGACTGCAAGGTATAATCAAAGCTTCTGTTCCCATCTCCTCCAATTCTCCCCAAGATTTCCAGTAAAGAATAATGCTGATGGAGGTTTGAAATGCTCCAGTATTATTATTATTATTATTATTATTAATACTACTACTACTACTACTACTAATTTTTTTTAGTTGCAGGTGAAAGCTGTAACTCCCTTACTCAGGCTGCTGGTGAGTGCACGGAGAGACAGGTCACTTCTGACATCATGTAATGTTTACCCTAGGCCACTAGGTTCCAGGGATGGGGTACTCACTCAGACCTCTGTGCCCCTTGGGGTTCTGTCCTTGAGTCAGCATTTAGCAGAGATAGGTGGGATGATAAACAGCTTTGACTTTATTAGGAAGCATGGTTCAGCAACACACACTCACAGCTTGCAGGGAGAATCACCTACCACCAACAAACGGCAGCCAAAGGGCATCCAGGGGAAAACTGGACCGTTCCATTGCAGGCCCCTTTAAAGGTACATTCTAGATACTGCCCTTAAACTGGTTAATGTGTTATGCCTGACCCTAGCCTTGATGAGCTGGCAGCACCAGCAGCCAGTTTGATGCACTTTCACTTCCTTGCCTACAAACTGACTTTAGGTCTAATGAGATTTTCTGGCCTTGTGATAAAAGGTCAATTTTCTTTTCCAGTATATCACACACACTATGGCAGTCGCTGAAAATTTGCAAGGGAGATACAGTGATCTTTGTCTATAAAAAAATGTTTTCCTGGTCATTTAGTGCATTTTGTTCCTTTTTCTTTTTGGCTTTTGTACTTTTCACATTTCCAGCTGCGTGGGAAGTGAGCTCCAAAAAGGAGAGCCTGAACGCACTTTGTAAAGAAGGTTGTATATTCACAGTTGGGCACCTGAAGTACGCACACACTTCAGGGAGAATTGGGGCGGGAGGGTTGGTACATGTGTACAGAGTCCAGTTTGCAAGCCATTCTTCTTCTACATACACCCATGATAAATGAAAAATGTCTTGCATTTGAAAGCTTGCCTAACTCTATCCTAACTACATAGTTGGTGCCATAAAAGATATCACCCTAAAATTCTTGTCCCTCGCATACATTTATAAGACAGTTTCCCTTTTCAAGACAAGCTGTATACTGTGGTGGGAGAAATCTCCCTAAGGTTCGTTGTCTAGCTGTAATTTGATTGACAGACAACGCTGTAATTTGATTGACAGACAACGCGGGTAAAGAAAGACAGTTGTTTATTTGCTCGAGCAAAGACCATAAAGCCAGCAAAAGGCAAAATGGCCCCCCCTCAAGGGTGAGGTGATCTTTTATATTTATTATAACAAGGCAAGACTTCATGGTTAACAAAAAAAGCAATACTTGGGCGGTGCTTTTTAAATCTTTGTAACAGCATATTTTTATTAAGCTGAACTAGCACTTTTTAAAAGCTAAAAGTTAAGTAACAGTAACATTATAATATGTTAGCAAAACCTTATATAGTAGTAGATATTTCTCAAGGACACAACCACTGCACCCAGAACAATGGTTTTCCTGTCTCATCTTATTTCTTGCTGTAGCTGATTTTTCAGCACACAGACACAGATCCACTTTTTAACTCAGAAAATGTTTAATACAGTTAAAATGATTACTTGACACAAGCAAAGGCTTAGCTATCAAACTGCCTTGTGGTCAGCTGCATTGCTAGGCCACAGGTCATGCCTTGTATTCAGCTGTAAAGCTAATACTTTTTAATAATCTAAATTATTGTAAACCTAACAGTATGCTTATCAGAAAACTATTCTATTTTAGGGTAATAACAAACCTGCGCACTACAATACCTTTATAAGCCTGGCCCTCTTATGGGAGAGCAGTAGGGCTGTACGAAGCTTCGGGCCCTGATTCTGTTCGGCGGAGTTTTGGCCCAATTTGGTGGCCAAATCTCTGAATCTGAATTGAATCAGGAGACCCTTTAATCTCTCTGAATTGAATCAGAACCCTCCAAATCGATTCAGAAAGATTTGGCAATTCGGACATAGAGACAACTTTAAATGTTTTTTCTACATACCTCAAGGTGCCAGGCGGCTTGTGAATGCTGAGATGGTGGGGTGGATGGAGTGTCCCACAGGAGCGCAGGGAGCTCCCCAGTGCACTCAGCAGCAGACCCAGAAGTGGACCGGAAGCACTTCCAGTCCACTTCTGGGTCTGCTGCGGAGCACATGGGGGGCCCTCCTGTACCTCCCAGCTTAGCAACTGGTGCCTCCTGGGTCTGGGGGGGGCACCTGGGGTCTCTCTGTGGCAAATCGCAGAGCCGAGGGGGTGGGGGGGCACAGGGGAGCCCCTTGCATGCTTCGTTGTGGATCGGGAAGTACTTCCGGTCCACTTCCATGTTCATGGCTGAGCATGCAGGGGGCCCCCTCCACTCCTGTGGGATGGTCCATGCACCCCACCATCACAGCGTTCACAAGCCATGCCTGGTGCCTCGAGGTATATAGAAACAATATTTAAAGCTGTGTCTATGGCAGAATCACTGAGCCTCCAAATCAGCATCGAATCTTCAGATTCAGATTCGGTCGAAGTGAATTGAGGACAGCGATCCAAATCAAGAAATCGAATCACTGTCCCCGATTCGGGCCGAATCCGAATTGAATACAGCCCATTTCTCACACCCCTAGAGAGCAGTGTGACCCCTTTAAGGGCAGAGCATGGGCAGCCAGCAGAGCAAGCGTTAAAGAGCAGCCCTGTAGTCAGGCCAGGCTTCACATAAGTAGAAGAGGCCTCAGACCAGAGTTATATAAGCCCTGGGATTGAGCCAGTTGCGGAGGCCAGTGTCAGGAGTAGGTGCTATATGGCCTTGGTCCTCTCCTGCCCGACATCTTACCGTGCATTGTCAAGGTGAAGATCAGCTCTGCCACTGCCACACTCTGGTGTCATGTTCTCAACTGCCATGCCTTTGGTCTTTCGTTAAGGTTGGGAGCTGGTTGTGTTGGCTGATAGGTCTGGGCCTGTCCTCAGAGGATTTTGTTCCTGGGGCTCCATGAGTAACCTGGAAATGAAGGGACAAGTATTCCATTCGATTGGTGACTCAAAGTCTGTGAGGCATGCAGCCTGGTGTAGAGGAGGTATGGAGCTGTGGTCTTGTATCCAGATAGGATGAACTGCACCTGAGTGTGCTAAAAGAACTGGCCAACATGGCAAAGTTATTTGAAGACTCATGGCACTCGGGAGAGGTCCCAGAAGACTGGAAGAAGGACAATGTGGTGCTTATCTTTAAGAAAGGGAGAAAGGAGGACCCAGGGAACTACAGGCCAATCAGTTTGACCTCAATCCCTGGTAAAATCCTGGAAAAAATTATCAAAGACTCCATTACTGATAAGCTAACAGAAGGCAGCGTTCTAAAAGATAGCCAACACTGTAGCTGGCAGAGCTATCAAACAGTGGCATGCATCTACAGAGGCATCTCAAGCAAGGCTAAGGATGCAATTCTCCTGCTCTGCTTGGCATTGGTGAGACCGCAGCTGGAGTACTACGTCTAGTTCTTGGTGCCACACTTCAGGAAGGATATGGAGAAGCTTGAGAGAGTCTAAACGAGAGCCATGCATATGATTAGAGGCCCAGAGAGCAAATCATATGAGGAGAGGATGAAAGACTTGGGGCTGTTTAGCCTGGAGAAGAAAAGACTCAGAGGGGACTTGGTGGCAGTCTATATGTATATTAGGGGTGCACCTCAGGGCCTGGGAGGGCATCTGTTCACCAAGGCCCCCCCAGAGGAGGCCAAGAAACAATGGGCACAAACTCATTGAAGATAGCTTTAGACTGGACATAAGGAAAAACTACTTTACAAATTGAGTGCCAAGGGTTTTGGAACAGGCTTCCCGCAGAGGTGGTACAGTCACCCACCCTGGCGATCTTCAAAAAACATCTTGACACCCAGCTTGCTGGGGTCATCGGACCCCAAGAGTCTTTCTTGCCCAAGTGCAGGGGGGCTGGAACCAATGATCTGTAAGGTTGCTTCCAGCCCCTAACAACTATGAAACTATCAAACTATAAGTTTTGGATTAGACACAATTTGTGGTATAGGACTTGTATATTCTTTCCACCCCCTTGATGACCACATTTTAAAAACAGGAAAGGAATTAAAGCAATTTCAGAATTACTTAGATTGCAAGCTTTTTTTCTACAGTGCTTGTCAAAATAGGGATCTGGTCTGTGACTGGAGGCAGTCATATTAAATGCTTCTGTTAAAAGACTTTCTGCTAACTCACTTTTGCAGATGTTTGCAATCCTTTTTGATTTCCTAGAACAGCCTTGCAAGCAAGCAAACAACCGCTGTATGAATGCTTGTGAGAGTTGAATAAAAACTGACTTCACTATGTGACACGCTTTCGTTTTTATTCCAGCAAATACTTGGAAATGCTATGTTTTTCATTCACCCAGCTCCACTTCACTCTTCCTGTTCTAGGAAGATTCAAGATAGGACAGATTAGTATCCACTTGGGTGTCAGTTTGATGCAAGTTGAAAGCAGTATAAAATTGATAAAACCTTCAGCTACTGAACAGCCATGTAAGACATGACACCTTGGCTCTGTCAGCCTTGAAATTCCCCAGGATTGGCACTGACAGATAAAATAATCTCTTGGAAAGCTCTACAAACATGTCAGAGCTTTACAGTGATCCTATCTTTAAAGAATTCCCTTAAGGATACTTTAGCATCCCTTTGAGGAGGTTTCAAGAATTTCAGGAGCTCAGATCCTGTCTCTTTTCAGTTGGAAGGAAAAACCCCTTTGTTCAAACTTGGAACAAGATGAATGAAACACTTTGCTTTAATGCTTGGATGAAGATGATGATGATGTGACTAAACCTAATTACGAGGGCTGTGCAAAGCTTCAGGTGGTGATTTGATTCGGAGGAGATTTGGCCCGATTCGGTGGCCGAATCTCTGAATCTGAATTGAATCAGGGGACCAATTTAAAGGTCCGAATGGATTCAAAGCTCTCCGAATCTTTGGCAAAGACTTGTTGAGTCCCAACCCATGAACAATAGCCCAAATTATTCCATTGCAGGTCTCTGACCCTCCCTCCTACCCCAGGCTCTGAGCTTAATGGTCTTTACCCCTGTTAATCAGGGTTCTCAATAGGTCTCTCTTCTTGGCCAGGAGTTTCAAACCACCTTTTTCAGTGGCCAGTTAAAAAAGCTAAGGTCTCCCTCTAATCTGGGTTCTAGCTAGGGAGTTTGATCTAAGCAACCAATTCAGGGGTGGGCAAAATACAGCCCCTGGGCTGAACCCAACCCATGGCAGGTTTTTGTCCAGCCCGCAGCGGGTCCCTCATTTCCATTCTCCCTCATTTGGCAAGGCTACCCCTTTTCATTTTCTGGATATTGCATTGGCAGCTGCTGAGATGAAGTGGATGCATAGAGATCTGTAGTAATCATAGGATCATAGGAAAGCAGGGCTGGAAATGACCTTACAAGGTCAATTTAGTTCAGCCCTCTGACTAAACCATCCCCTCAAACTTGTCTCCCAGGGGATCCTGCCCACCAGTTCCCTGAGTTTGTTAAAGTCTGCCTTTCTGAAGTCCAGTGTCCTTATTTTGCTGTTCTCCTTCCTTCCTTCCCTTAGGATCTTGAACTCTATCGTTTCATAGTCACTATTCTTTAACTTTTGGTCATGACCCCTATTCTACGTCCAAAAAGAATGTCATGTTACCCATTCTATTCCTGGCTCCCTGTTCCACCTTGGAGGCTTTGGCCAGTTGGTTTCCTCTATGGTTTCCTCTATGGCTGCCAGATTGTGCTGCCTAATTTACTTCTAAATCCCACAGGAACTGTTCTAATACAGTTTGCTCTATCAGTTTTCTTTTCAAGCTTTTCTAAAGGCAAAGCCTTTTATAGGCTGCATCTCTGAGAGACTGTGCTAACTACCTAGGTTTTTATGACCCTCTGGTCTTTATACTTCAAAACCACTGTTGATAATTTTCCTTTGAGATTTCCAGGAAATTCAAAATGACCCCTTTTACTGTCTTACAGTTCTAGGCTTCTTCTTTCGAGAGTGCCCAATATGCCACTTGGGCTATCCAATCAATAGTGCCCCCAGTCAGGTTGCCCAGGTGGGTTTATTCCAATCTGGTGTTTCCATGACTTTGGAATGTCTCTGAGAACACTGGATCATTGTCCTGGTCATGTTCTCCAGGGCAAAACATTGGAAAATCTCCAGAGATATTTTTCCCACAGCCAGTGACCTTTGGGCTGACAGAGCTAGTTGTTCAAACAACATTTCTTACCTGGTAAATAACATATTTTACTCTTCTGCTTGCTGGACTTGTTACTGTTGCATTTTCTCAATCTGATGTGTAGTCCTTGCACTTATTTGGGCCAACATACTTTGGCACTTCTGAGTTTCTGCCCACTGTTGAGTCACGTGCTGCAGCAGTCAGTCAGCCTCCACTTTATCATCTTTAGGTTCTCAAGGCAGGAAAAAATTATTTTCTCCATGGCCATCAAAAGGTTCCCAGCCAATGTCCAGTTGTAGCAGGGTACACCTTCAGGGCTGGCAGTGGTACCTCTTGGTGTCACTTGTGCTCCCTGCACTGCTTTAAATTGACCTTCTCCACATGTGTCCTGCTTCTCTTGCCTGCCATCTCTTGCTCTTATTCTGTGTGTGGATCCCTGCAGAGATAGGGAGTCTAGTTAATAGGGCAGGAGGTTTTACTGGGTCTCCCAGTATGCTATTTCCTTCATTTAGCTTTGCTGCTTAGTGACCTTTCAGTTATGTTGTCTATTTTTGTTGGACTTTATTCCTACCTGGTAAATCCTATAATTCTGTCCCCTCCTCTCCACACGTCTTAATCCTTATGGATAGGCCCAGTACCAGGCTGGTTTTCCTTGTAGCCTGTTAGGCCTTACTCGCTTTCCCCACCTCATTTTCCCTGGGTCTGTTGTCCTTTGGCAGGAGACCTATCCTATTGCCTGGTCAGAGGCCTTCTGGCCATTCTCTGCTGGTGCCCTTTCCTTATATTTCTCTAAGAGATATTGCCTCAGTCTGTCTTGTTCTCCTTACTGGACTCTGCCCTTTCTCCCCTGCAAAGTGGATTCAAGGCCCCTTGTTACAACATCTAAGATAATGATGATAAGCTAGTTCCCTTGGATGTAACTAAGAATCAGACTGGTTGTGCAACATGTGCTGAGTTTCATGCCACTGTGGCTTTGCCGCTAACAGTACCTGAGCTAACTAGTTCAAAGCTAGTTCAAGCTTGTCTCTGCATACTGTCACAGCAGTTGATGGAGTCTTGCCTCAGTGTCGATGTCTGGGTGAGGGGGAGGCAGGCAGACTCACTCTTGAGGACCCTTGCATAAAAAGATTTCTCTTCCCAACCAGCAGCACCCCATGCAACAAGTGCCCAGAAAAAAGCAGGAGTCTTTGCAGGGGAGGCAGGCAGCACTGCCTATTGAACTTACCTGCCTCCCCCACCCCCCACCCCAAAAAATGCATGTCTCTTAAGCAAAACCACCAACAATTCCCCTCCCAAAAGCAACCCAGCACAACCCAAGAAAATAAACCAATCAAAATATCAAATCTTGTCCTAAAATGCTACCTGGTAGTAAAGTAATAAGCCATTGTGTGGTAAATCATACCCACGTTACTTATTTAGCTGTCTTAAACTAAGAAAGAAAAATTAAACCATGAACATTTTTAGTGACTAAATGCCGAGTATGTGTATAAGGGCCCAAAGAGGCTTAATTTCTTGCTCTATTTACCCTGGAAAAAGCATAATTTGCACATCCATTGGCTTTAACCAGGTTTGTGAATTGTCTTTTGAACCAAAGATTCATACAAAGCTTCATACTCTGTCCTATACCTTGTCAGCCATGCTTTCCCAGACATGAATGATGTGGGTTCAGATTGCCTTGGCAGATGGATAAACAGAGTCTAACAGGTCCCATTTACTGCTGCTACTGCTAGACCATCATAATGAATGCTATGAATAATCTAAGTCAGGGGTCAACAACCTACCCAACAGGCCAGTTCTGGCCCACAAAGCCTTTGGATCCATCCCATGGAGCTGTGGCTTTGACAGCATTCAGGAGCAAGGGACTTTCTCTCTCCTCAGCTGCAGTTGGGTGCACAGGGCTTTGTGGAGGGGGAGCTTGGCTTGTTTCATGCTGCAGCTGGACAGCAGGGAGAAGCAGAGGAGGTGGATGGGCCCTAGTACCTGCCTGATCCCACCCGATCCAGGTCATTCCAACCCCCTGCTGGAAAACATTGCTGACCCTTGGTCTTAATCCTAAAGCATAAGAGCTACAACATAATTACAGAGCTATTTTTTAGTTAATTCTGATACAGTGTGTCTTAAATCTCTGTATGTCTCCATTATTGATAGAATTTTTTTTTGGTTCTCCTATCATTTAAATTTTTTTAAAGATATACCTAACTTGTTATATATCAAAACCTTCCATACATTCCATGTACAAATTCTTTCTCATAAGGACAATTCAACCCTTGACTGCCAAAAAAAGGGCAAACGTTATCATGCCAATTAAAAACAGAACCACCACATCCCATTTTTAAAACTGTAGCCTGATACAAGGCCTGTAAGCCTACTGACATCCATCCTGCATCATGGACAGTGGAACTGTCAGCATGTTTAACAGCTTTTTCCTACTACATCTGCCCAAAGATGTTCTAGCAAACAATATTCTACTGGTTTCCAGTGCACCAAGTGCCATGATAGAAAATCTGTGGGTGAAACCAAACAACAAATGTGCACCAGAATGAATGCACATCAACAATCTATCAAAGACAAGAACACCCAATGAATCTCCAGGCCTCCCTTCCATCTAATAGCTTGGGTTCAGTTTCTATATTCCAAGACCAAAAACATTGCCTGTGGCTGCATATAGGGAGATCTGGACTACTACATAATCAGGAACTTTTACAGAGTCTGCTACGTATCCTCCCCAATGTTTTCTCTCCAGTGGTCTGGTCAGCTCTATAGAAAGTAATCCCTTGCTGAAGGAAGCTCTTTATCTCTGCTCCCTTGAGATGATGATACCTTATTAATCATAACTTTTAATCCTACTTTGCTCCACTGATTATTAGAGGACTTTGGTTAGCGTCCCTCCTGCACAGAACAGCCTCATTGGCTCTTCCCTCTCTGTTTCTGCCCTCTGTAGTGAAATTAAAATCTAGTCTGATATCAGTATTCTAGTGGAAAAGAGATACAGACCAACTTCCTCTAGAGATGAATTCTGTCCTGAGGATTCTCTGGGGTTCCCTAAATGTTGATGGATCTGTATGTCACCCCTTTTACCAGTTTTACTACCAGCTACCTTCTGGATCACATTACTTGAGCTATTGTCTCAGGGACCTTGAAGCACCCCAATATCATCTGCTGGGTATTCTTCTGCAGACCAGAATGATCACCTTGTAGTCCATGTTGACACTGGATTTGGACCCAGCACCTTATACCTTTGTTCCAGATGGGCACAACCCTCAGATCAACCACAACACCTGCCACAACACCTACCCGAGCAAGAGGAATTTCAGAATACCTTTTTATTTTAGGGGCTTTTATTTAATTATTATATTCACTGATTTATTCTTTTGAATGTTATACTTATATTGGATAGGATTACTATAGAATTTAATTTATATTGGAAGGAAAATACATTTCTATTTTATTTCTATACGTTTAAAACTTTGCAGCATACCATACATCATACATTATAGAATTTATATAGGAAGAAAGATATATTTATCCTTGTTTTTGTATGTTCATTCTTTGCATCACACCTACGCTATTGGATTATATAGGGAGAAAGATATATTTCTGTCGGTTTCATAAATGTCTTCACTGCACCATACCTACATTTTTGAATGTATGTAGGAACACAAATACATTTATATATTTGTTGAAAAGGAAGACATGAAACACACCATGAAGCGTGGTGGAAAGGCAGGTGGCCACACTGGCCAGCCTTCAGGGAGG